CAGCTGATCAAATTTTCCCTATAAGTTTACTAAAGCTATCTAAACAAAGCACTGAATATAATTAACATGATGACACTCCACGCTTTACATAACGCGTAAAGACACGAATATATTAAACACGAAATGTTGTAAGTTGGAAACATAACAAATCCAAAGGAAAAAGACATAAAAAAACAGTAGTTAGAGCATCCGAGCGCGGAATTCGAAGGTCTGAGGTTCGATTCCTCATGGGGACTTAGAATAATTTTCTTTGTCCCACGCTCGTGACAAGACGAAAAAACATCTTTCTCGACATAAAAAACAGTTTTTAAACAGTGCTGAATTCTTCGCGAATTGGAATTTCAAAATAGCCTTAAGTCACGAAATCTTAATCAATCTGACTTGTTTCAATAGTTATACGGATTAAGTAGGTTTCTTCATAACTGTGAAATATACAAAAAAAACGAATCTCCTAAATATAAGAAAATTAAAAAAAAAATTAGTGAAGAGAATAATCAATCAAGCGCAGATTCAAGGAAGTCTGCATCAAACTGATCCATTGTAAAATAAGACAAAGAATTCTATTTTTTAGAGGCTGTAATGAAAAATTAGAGCCGCAGTTGAATGTGTTCATTGTTGACAACAATTGAATGAGGATCTAAAAAAAGATGTCACTAACCACCATTCAGTATCGTAACATTGTGTGATAAAATGTTCACAAAGTAGGCGGTATTTCATTAACTCACCCTCTTGATAAAATTTCTTCTCTCTCTAGTCCTTTCATCGGCAGGTTCCCCTCCAGTGATTCCCTTAGCACCAGTGTCATCCACCTTGGAATTGTTAACTAATTGCTCGATTCTAGCGTCCCTTACCGCAACTTCCTCAGCCTTTTGATCTTTGATGAATTTCTCTTTGTCCTTCCTTATCATCTCTATCAATTCCTTGTGTGTTAAAGATAACTTTGAAGTTGTCCTCTCTGATAATTGACCTGTTTCTCTTCGGTTAGTATCGGAAGTCTCTGGTTTGCTAAATTCACTGACTTGCGGAGTAAAGTCATCTATCAGCATGCAAATTAAAGAATTACTATGATTAATAAATTTCACTGTAAAATACCACAAGAACTATTCAATGTTTCCTTGTTCACATACTCTTTACCCGAAAATAAGGGATAAACATTTACCTGCTATTCTAACAATTGGTGTCTTTGGGGCCTTTATTGGCACAATGTCCCCTCCGCCACCAACAAACCTCCTGTATGCGTCCTCAAGATATGTTCTATCTCTTAGGTCTGGTACGAAGAAAAATGCTCCAAAACATAGAAAGAGGAAAGCTATAAATATTAACATTAATACATATTTTTCCCTAAGCCTAAGACCCGATCTATTGACGGGAATAGGATGAAAATTTCTACTATGGTGAGTTGGCAGTATCGCCATGATCGAACAAGTTATACCGCCATATTGGGTAATACCGCTGATAAGCATTGTCCAAGGGCGCTTCGAAGTTATTATGATCGTTTTTGATTGGATGAATAACTCGTGCGGAACGCTGCGAAAATTTTAGTATAAGCTCACTATGTAATTATTTCATAGGATAGGCTTTTACTGAGATAAAGCAAATCAGGAAAGAAAGGCAAAAGGAGAAGAGCAAATGGTGAATTCTCCATGATCAAGGTCTTTACAAACCCTTACAAGACATGCTAAAAGGTTGTTGTTGACCAGACAAAGTGTAGTGCCTTAGAAAAATAAACACAATAACTACTAATTGTGATCAAGATTACCCGTTTCATTTGGAGTTATTGATAAAGAGTGACACCAGGTTGATCATGTGACAACAACAATAATAGGTAGCAGGATTACATGTTATGACCCAGTTTTCTTGGTTCGTGGTTTTCGATTTTTCCTTAGCTTAGCTTTTGTGCCTTCATGGTTTTTGCTTCCTTTGTTAAATAGTCTTATTTTGTGAGCTAAGCTTCTTCCTAGCCCGACATTATAGGCAGCAGTGTTGAAGTGGTTTCCAAAGGATATCAATATTAGTTTATTTTCAGTTTTCATTCTTCAAGTTGTGTGAGCTTCTATTCTGATATTTTCAATAGCACATTTATACAGAAGCTAGATGAGCCCTTTATGCTATTACTCTATTGCCTTAAATTTTGACTTATTGTAGGTAGAAAAAAATGATTACCCTAGTTTTGACAAGGCTACTAAGACAAGGGCACTGTTATATAGGTAAAAGTAAAGAATCCAATCCCACCGATGTGTTGGCCAACACACCGCCGACACACTGCCAACATGTCAACCATCATTTTGAGAACAAAATACTGGTACCTAAGTCTTCTCCGCATTTTTTTTTGCTTTTTTAGGGTACTTAACCAAGGAAGTTAGCATGTTGGCTGACACTGATCTCACTGACATGTTTACTTTTTGTTTATTAGCAAGATTAGGAAGCAAAAAGTCTTTATTGATCATTGACTTTTGAATATGTGGTGGCTCCTAAAGGAGCTGTTTTTAAATGCACACACCCCCGATGCATCTTGCAAGTTAGAAGGATAAATGGTGGCCAACGCGTCAGCTGACAGTTGGCCAGCTGTTGACTGATGCATAGGTTGGATTGGATTCTTTACCTTTACCGTTATATGTGTACACTGAAGTAACTTCAAAGGATCAGCACATCATCTGTTGAACCTTATCACTGCTGAATGAAATGTGAAGGTTAAGAGAATGGAAAGAAATAATTGTTGACTGAAAAACTCCCTTGCCTTTGTAAGACAGATTGGTTTCCTTGGATGCTTGTTCTCCTGCTTCAAATAGATCTAATGCAAAGTGTTTATTACAAAAGTAAACAACTTTTCAAACTCATGAAAGGCAAACCACCCTCATTGGCAACAACTTGGTATTGTTACAATAAATTTCAGAACAACACTTATCCTATATTGGTCTAGCAAATCTAATTTTTCCATTACAAAAATAGTATTATTGAAAAAAAATTCAAGACAAAGGTATTGGTCACATTTCTTTAACCTCAGGATTTCAGGGAAATCTGAGAAAATGTCACAGTGCAGATGAGGCACAACAAGTTTGATGAATTCATTCATTTATTTCCCTGTTAAAATTCATTGACTACTGGACACCCAGCTTACCTTTCAAAATTGTTGCATGCACTTTTGTACTTTTATTCAATAACCTCTCTCAAAACAGCTGTATTTGCTAAATTCCATTATTTACAGAGAGCACTAATCAGATTGTTTTACTTGATCAATCAAATGTCCCAAAGTTTTTGTCAGCAACTGCAGATTTTGTGCATCAGAAAGCCTATGACCACCATCCTTGATAAGTGTTAATTGGACATCATCACTTTCAAGTTGATTGACCAGATCAAGTGATACCTGGTAGGGCACATCACCATCTTTCATGCCATGGAGTAAACGTACAGGACAGCAGATGGGATAGAGTTCTTTTTCTTGTAAAACATGCTGACGTGCCTCTTCTATCACTATTGAATCTAACACATATGGCTCCTCAGTGTGTTGAGAAGGTAATATCCATTTTCCTGTAGCTTCCACTTCCCTTTTTTCTTCATGGGAAAGAGTATCATAGCGTCGTGATACAAAGTCAACAGCACTAGCTATGCCAATGAGACCCCTTATTTGATCTGGTTTTGACATCGCAACTAAAAGAGAAATCCATCCTCCAAGGCTTGACCCTACAAGGATCTGTGGACCTACAAAGTAAATGTACATGGTCCCCCTTAAAATCTGTCCAAGGTTCTGGGAAATGAAACTCTCATGAGAGTTTGCATAACCTCACATAATGCATTACAATGCATTATTATTAGGTTTGAATCATTTCACATGATGCATTATCTCTTATCTGTGCATAAAATTTTTTATATGTTGATATATACAAATATAATTGTATAGTTGGACCAAATGGAAATAAACCATCGCAATAAGAAGAACACAAACTTTCCATTCTTGAAAGGATGTTACAACCCTGTCTTGAACAGACCAGAAGCAAAATTTATATTTATATTTTCAGAACGCGGGGGGAATCAAATTTTTGCTCCGGTTTTGCCACCAGAAGATCCCAAAAATTTCTTTTTGCACATTATAAAATACATAAAATCTCGACGCTTCAACAGACGGGGGGAATTAAGCCTGTTTCAAGTGCATTCTAAGCGCGTAATAAAAGATCTGAGCGGAGTGCCACCTTTAGCAACGCCATCAAGAATTGTTAACACATCTTCCTTCCTCATTCCAATTGTGCATTCTTGACTTTCTCCACTAGACATGCCATGCCCTCTGTAGTCAAATCTTACATATGAGTGTCCAATTTTTTTGCAGTATCTCTCTAGAGCCAGAGCTTTTGTACCCTCCATGGTGGACATCAGCCCGGGCAAAAAGATAACCCCTGGAGATTTTCCGGGAGATTGTCGAAAGGCTACGCGTTCTCCTGGAGATGGAAACGCATACTGTACAGTGGACTCAGCAAAAGAACTCATTTTCTTCAACAAGTGTCTGATGATCCTGTTTTGAGTACAGGGAGACTTAAAAAGATGCCTCATTACGTTGCCTTAGTTAAGCTGCTGGGTTAGTGCTTCATTTATACATATATGAATTGTCTCTTCTAAGGCCCGTTTCTTAAAAGCACTGGTGACCAGCTGACATTTGTTTGAAATGTCTTCATTCAAGATCGAAATAATCATAGTTTTGAAATCCCAAAAACGAAAATGTATTAGAAAACATATAAGAATAATCTAGTTTATAAGCTTAAGACCCGCATTATCATCTCCTGCATTTAGTTTTTCGGACTTTCGAGAAACAGGCTAGTGGTCTTGGGTGTGATCTAAGGTCCCTTTCCGAATATTGTGACGAATAGGTTGCCTTTGGTGTAGATGCCACAAAGGGGAAAGTCTGCTGACCAGCGCATTTTAGTGCAAATGGGAGGAGTATACTCTTATCTAATCATCGATCTTTAATGTTTTACTTGTCTTACTATCTACAATTTCAAGATAAGGCCCTTTTCTCTTTCATTTCAACTCGTTTTAATTAAGACTAACATTGATATACCGGTAATAGTGCGAAAAAACGCTAGTAAGCAATTGGTTTAAGTTTTGAGTCTGATTGGTCAGGAGCATAATGACCTCCTGGAGTGGTCGAGAAAGTGGCGACAACTCGAACACTTTCCAACTTCCTTAGACGGTTGAGTTGTCGATGGTCGATTGAGAGTTTTACATGGAATCGACGGTCTTTGGGATCACCTCGATCCGCATCCAGCCATGAAACCAGTAACAGGAACTCTATAGTCTTATTCGGCTCAAGGCAGCCTCCTCCTCAGGCCCTGCGTACTGTCTGAATGAATGCAATACCACGCGACTGGTGACGACCACGTAAGGAACTTCCCTTCCTCCACTGCGCGCCCATTTTCTTTTCCTTTGCCATTGGCAAAATGTTTGGTGAATCCTAGTTTCACCTCACTCGTTCTTGTTGGAAGATATTTCCCTGTATCAATTAAGGGAGCTGCAATTCCACTGTGAATAGATTTTCTATTTCCTCCTCAGAGACAATCTAGCACACAAATAAAGAAACCTATTCATTTTCTGAAAGAAAAAATCTGCATAACAGTTGCATCAGCATAGTTATTACGCTATGCAGGCTGTACTTACTCACATACCTTATTACCATATGAGGGGAGTTGGTGCCTAGTGATAAGCTAACGGGGATGTGCCGCTGGATGAGTTCGCACTTTCACGACCAGATTGACTATAATGGGGTTACATTTTCAATAGAGCTAATGGTAAGGGGTCGCTCATTTTCGGGATTTTGGGGATTAGAAATCTGGTTAAGTAATGGGAAGATTCGCGATTAAAAGTTAGTCACCTTCTCACAAAAAGTGACAAAGATGGGGTCTATAATTGGCCAAAGTATAGACTTCAATGTGGTAGGGTTTCTGAGAGGCCAGCGGCACATTTCCAGCAAAAACTGACCGACGTGCCCCTTCCCCCTTATTACTAACTTATTAGGGCTGTTCTTTAAGTCATAACCTGTTTTCAAACTCTTACTACTTGATAGCGTTGTTAAGGCACAGTAACATAGTTACGCTTTAACAGATGTTTCAATCTTCAAATCATTATCTTCACCCTTTCTTAAACCGTTGACACGGAGTTTGTACCATCACTTCGCTATGACAGATGTTTTCATTCAGTTTCAAATCAGTTTTAACACTTTCTTAAACAGTTTGGTCCAAGTTTGCAACATAAATAAATGAACAACAACAAAAACAAACTAAGATCAAATAAAGGTTGAATCTTGAAACTTTCTCCCAAAATTTTGTAAGCCGTACCTTCTGGTATCCCTTAGCAACGATGTTAAGCGTGTAAGAAACAAGATAATTTGGTTTTATCGACTGAAAATTGGCCACCATAAAGAGTTTCTAAAGCTGACATTTCGAAATTTAACACTCCGTCAGAGTCCCTCGCCATTTGCTCTGTCGGAGTGTCAAGTCTCGAAACGTCAGCTTCAGAAACTCTTTACAGTGGCCGATTTACATCTATTTATTTGCTCAATTAGTAAACCAAATTATCTTGTTTTACCATAACCGACGCAGTACCACAATTTCCTTAGGAAGTTCCCCCCTTTCTTCGTGTATCAAACAGTTTGGTTGAAAATTGTACCATCGTTGAGACAGACGTTTTCATATTGGCGATAAATTTAAATCAATTTTTAGACATTGATGAGCAGTTCGTAGCATTGTTTCGTTAGTTTCTGACAGATGTGCACACATCACTTTCAAGTCACTTCAAAGCACTTTCTAAAACGGTCATTTGTAGTTTATAACACTGTTTTCTTATGGCAGATGTTTGTATATTAGTTTGAAATCACTTAACGCCTTTTTCAAAGTCGATTTGGAGTTTTTAGCACTGTTGTGTTACAACAGATGTTTACATATCGTTTTCAAATCACCTTTTAACACTCAATATTTTACACATTCAGTTGATTTGCAGTTCGTAACGTTGTTCTTTTTATGACAGATCTTTTTATACAGTTTCAAATCACTTCGTCACACTTTCTTAAAACGTTCATTTGGAGTTCGTAACATCGTTGCATTGTGTCAGGTTTTTTCATAATTTCTAATGAGTTCTTAAATATTTCTCCTAGTAAACTGTTGATATGGAGTATCTTTGCGTTATGACAGATGTCTTAAACATTTTCATATCGCCTCATCACGCTTCATTACTCCTCATTAGACCTTTGAGTCCGCGTTTGTGCGATGTTTATCATCGCCTAGTTCTTATTTTACTTTGTTTTTGTATCAAAGGCTCCATGATTGCCAGTGCTTATTCAAGTTTCCTTGGTAGCATCGACATGTGTTGAACCCAAATGTCTGGCCTTTTGCCTCTTTTTAATCAGTTTGCAAACAGTATTACGCATACTGGCCACTCCAATTACCCCGCTGTTGGCTTTTTGGCGTTACTCTTTTCAATATGGTTGCTTTAATTGTGGTAGTTAACATAATTGCGTTATGAAAAATATTTTCATGTTCCAAATCAGTTTTCCACACTTCTGTTAACTTTCCAGTCTGAGTTTGTATCATTTCACATTTTTGAGTTCTCATTCTGTTTTTGTTGTTGTAAATTATAAAATTATTTATGATTTCCGACAAAGGTCCTGCTTACTTTCAAGTCTTCAATTCTTTCATCAGAAGGAGTAGCAGTACACTCAACCCCCTAACACTGTAACACCTGTATACATATTCTACAAACTAATCTACATAAATGCCCTATGGTAGTGACTAGGAGAAGTTGTTTAATAATCAAGAGCTTCTTAAGTTTGAAATCAATTCCTTTTTTTTTCATCATCTCCTAAATGTTTGTTTCATGGGTGATGCTGTTGAGGGAATAAGGTGCTAGTTACTCTTAACCCTTAAACTCCCTGAAGTGATTAAAATTAAACTTCTCCTTAAAATTTCCATATATATAACCAGCAAACAGGTAATGAGAATATTCAGACTTATTGGGTAAAAGTTATTATCCTGATCTAACACCAAATTCTTGTAGCTGATTTACAAGGAAATGTGTAGCAGCTAGAGGGAAAAAGTAACAATAAAATCTTGGGAGTTAAAGGTTAAGAGTTGAAGGAGTACGGCACCTTGGAAACTGGGACAAGCACTTGAAATGAAAGTCGCCTTGATGAACAATAGACCCAGCCCTAATGAACATGAACACTTTGGGCTGGTTATTTATGAAAGATTTAACACAAACTGCAGTTTTACACAAGCAGTGGGCCTCAAGGGTTTTGATTAAACAAATGTCCTTCCATTATTTGCTTTCAGCCCTCTAGACATCATACAGATAAAAGGTTTGATAAATTGAAGATGGCTTAGAACAAGGTATTGTTAAACCATGGATGGCTAAACTTTGTTTAAATAACCTGCCCTTTGCATCTGTGTTTGACTTACGTTTGTAAATTCATCAAATGTCAACCTTGTAGTCTGCTGCAATTCACTCCTGTTTAAAATACTTGATATCATTCCTAACAAGTGATCGTCTGTGATAAGAGGACCAGTTACCATTCTAAGCAAGCTGAACAGTTCACTGTATGACAAGTATCCATCTTGATCAGTGTCCAGTAACTGGAATGCAACTGCAAGAAAAATAAAAGATGAACAGGTCCAGATGCCTAAGTCTACTATACCACACATAATTTTAATTGCTCAGGGGAAGCTGAAAATTTTCTGGAATGACATGAACACCCACAGCAAACCCTATGATTGAGACTTCATATCTGAGACATTACCTCAGCCACTGAGAATTACTCTTTACAATATTTACACAAGGTCACCTCCAAATCGCACTAAAGGGAAGGGAGGGCTATGGAATGTATAAATCCATTTAATCCTTTGCCTCTCAAGATCTTCAAACTTACTTCCCGTCCTGTGTCCATACTTTTTTTTGTGGTTATTTTCTTTTTACCCTTTCTACCCACTGTGTTCAGAGATCAAGGGAGTAATTTACATACTAGTCACTCTTGGGTCTAGAGAAAAAGAGTAAAACCCTTGCACCTTATTTTTATTTGAGTTATCATTTCTTATTTTCAATTTTTCAAGGGCCTACTACACAGTTATCATATGGCTGACTTCCCCTTGTGATCAAGATGAAGCCAATCTTGAGTTCTGACTGGTTGTCAAAGCAAACAAGATGGGAACATAGTACATGCTTCCCATTGCCTGCTATGATCCTACAGAAAAAAATCCTTGTATATGCCAGAGTACATATTTAATAACTTAATGCTTATAATAATAAATCGTTGACCACACTCATTGAGTCAAGATTGTATTTTCCTGGTGCATTAAGACAATTAAAAGAAATTCTGCCAACATTCAGCCCTCTTGACCAAACCAGCTTTGCCAATATCATAAAAACATCATCTTGGAAATCGATGACATTGACTAATCCATACAGCTAGCTCTACCCATAAAACTGAGGTAAATTGTGACTCACATTCTTTTTTGTCCTGAATAGAATTGCGATGACTGAGTCTGGACATAATTTTGATGAATGATTTAGGTGTTATCCTGTTGGTTCTCCTTTCAAGATATGCAGAGGCCACTTTGGGCATGACTGGATTTGTAGATATTTCTGGTATATCTAAGAACTGTTTCAGGGTTATACCACCATTTTTCCCTTCAGGATCATAACGGGAAAACCTCTTCAGCAGCTTTGGAATCTCTTTAGTAGTAACTAGGAGAAAAGAGATGATTATCTAAAAGAAATTAAATGCAGTACATGGTTTGAACATGGGAATAAGCGGTTGAAATAAATCTTGTCCTTGCAATTTCAAAACATCATCCAGAAAAGAAAGGAAATAAAAACAGACAGGCTTATCAGTTACAAGGTGTGATCTTGATATGATGCTAAATTCTTGCAATCCAATTTATAAGGAAATATATGGCAGCCACAATGGAAACTACTGAGCAGATCTTGAGAGTCAAGAGTTAAATAGTAACAACCTTCCAACAACAGCCCAATTTCCTGGAATTTATTCTGCACAGTTTTGTTCACTGACAAAAATAGTTTGATTGATGTTTGATTTACAACTCCATTAAAATTATCTTTAAAATAATGTTCCTAGTTTTACAAATTGCAACAAACACTTGCATTTTGTATTAATAAAAAACTTGCTCCTTTACTGCTAGGCATTACTTTGAACCCAAATCCTACCCTACTCCCATATACATACAGTTTGAATTTGATTCCAATTCTCTTATTTCTTCCTCATTGGCAACTGATGCTCCTGCTCCCTAAATAACAGCATATAAAACAAGTTTTTATTTTGAGATAAAAAATGGATCAACTTGGAAAATGAAGGTCATCAATTCATTAGATTAACAAAGTGCAGTATACCTAATACTAAACTGGCGTCTAAGGTTCTAAAGTAAAAGCTACAATATCTCCCAAGAAGAGCAATTTTAGAACACTTTCCTCAATTTCTACATTTGGTGCAGTTTTAGGGTGCATAACTAGCTGAATAGAAATAGCTATTGCTATTAAGGGTAAAATTTGCAAATTTGAGTCTTCCTAACCCTAATTTTTGCACACTTTGTCAGTTGTGACTTGTCTTCTGCAAAAAATTATCTAGAAATTTGGAAACATTTTTTTCTTTAAAAGTCATCCTTCCACATACTGTAGCCCAACACAAGGTGTGTAGACATGATTATGATATGAATTTATGAAATATTCCAGAATTTCTTGTAACTTAAATCTTATTTTCTAGACTCAAAGATATGATGCATATCACATGGTTCCCTTAAGTCGCTCAGGGTTTGCCACAGATTGAAAGTCCTATAATCATGAATGTAAAACATGTTGATAGCAGTGGTGGTGATTTATGCAAATTCAACCACCGAACAAAGATGTCACCCAACAACTATCTTCACTTTTCCCCTTCTTCTCAAAAATTTATCTTTATTTTCTGTACTCTTTCTGGATCTTCAAAATTTTTGAACATTCACAATTTTCCCTTTGAATTGATTCAAACCTCTGTATAAACCCCTCCTTCAATAAAATTGTCATCCTTTTCCTAAACAGAAATATTTGGACACATTAATGTCCATAACCATTGCATCAAAATTAACATGATTTTGGTAAGATTCTCAAATCAAAGTAATCCCCATTTTCCCCATTCACTCCCTGAAATTTATTATCTTGAGAGCTTTTAATATTTAAGATTTTAAGGAGAATTACGCAGAATTTCTATATCAGTTTAGATCTCTGTAAAAGAAAACTTTGAAAGGAAGACTTACAAGCAAAAGCAATTTTAATAAACCCATGGAAATTATCACATTGGATAAGGAAACATGAAAGCCTTTCAGTAACTCTATACTAAACATTTCTGATAAAGATGTGTTTTTATGCTAAACAAGAAATTATTTTAAAATATCAGCTGCATAAGAGATAGTGTAAGTTGAAAGCTTTATTAGAAATGGCATATAATGAGTTGTTTCAAAGATAAAAGTCAGCTCTCTTGTATTAAAAAAAGTAAAACCCTATATAATAACTTCCAATGAGAAACCACGAAGTTAATGTAACTTTCAAAATACCACATATGGGGTGCATTAGATGGTATAATGATCAACAATAAAAAACTTGTTATGGAAGGAAATAATGTTTTTACTGATAATGAAATCTAGCATTTCCTGGTTAAGATGATAAATTGCTGGAAAAAGGATAATTGAGATTTCAAACTTCCTCCTTGCAAAACAAAAATATTTCTTGTTGAAAAACTTTTCAATAAACTTGAGCGATTCAGATTTTTCTCACACCTTAAGACTGTCCTGATAAAAAATTCCCAGCAACCCTAAATGGTCTTGAAATCTCAATTTTTGTATAAGACAAAGAGGAAATTTAAGGTGGACAAATATATTGACAGGACAACACATAAATGGGTCCATTAGTTGCCATGAAAACCTTACTGGTTAAGAAACATTATGGGGAAATCTCATTCATGCTTCACAAAGGCAAAATGAAATACAGCAAAATATTGACCATCAGATTTAAGATAGAGTGACAAGGATCAAACGAAATAGGAAATTTTTCCTTTGCCTGGAAAAAAGTAAACTTCCTTCCCTGGACACAATTTTTAATAATAACATCATTCACTGTTGACAGCTTCATTATTTTCCCTATCTACTTTTGTTTGATTTAGACTTTTAAACATCTATTTTTATTCAGATTTTTTCCTGTACTCCTTAAATAAAGCAAAAGCAGTAGCGACAAGGATCCACTTTAAATTTGTCAGCCTGTCAGTGTTGCCTTTCCCATTACTATCCAGCTGAACAAACTGGTCAATATTTTTAATTAAAAAGGAAGACAATTTCCAAGTTATCTGGCCATGAAGTCGGTGACGGTTTTTGATTTATTTATCCAGGCAGATCTTTCAGAGCTTTAAGCACAGGAAAGAAAGTGCTTACCGTCATCAACTGAAAGTGTGCCGAGAGGTAATAACAAAGGTTCCGCCATAAAAGAGTGCTTTATGTAGCTTTATGAGAAGAAATATCTCAGGAGAATCACCTGTTAGTTCTTTGTTCAAATAGTCCATTAACTTGTAGCATTAGCGGCCTGTGGACGTAATGATTCTCTCTCCACACACAGAGAAGATTAAATTTCTTGCGCTTTTATCTACTTTTAAATAATAAACAAAGACTTCAATTTTCGCGCCGTCGATGGATCTTTCGTAAGTAAGAGAAAATCTGCCAGGTTTTGTGCCTATTGCTATTTTTTAATTCCTTAGCGTTCTCACACCTTTAGCTAATCTAAAAACAATACAAGTCTCACTTCTTACCATTACTGAATAGGCCAGAAGGTCTCCTTTCCTCGAAGGTTACAGAACATGGCTGAATATCTGAATTTGTAATTCGTCACGCACTGGGGGATAGAGTGGAAAATTGTCATAGTCATAATAACGCCCAACCACCCTTCCCTCTGTGAAAAAAGTTACAAACTTTGAAGGTAATAATATTTTGCAACAGTAATACATTGATGCATTACGTATTTTGACTAAAATGACCAATACTACGAGAATTAAATGCTTATCTAAAAGGCAAAACTTTCGCAAACCTTGAAACGTACAACTGAACCTTTTTTGCCAGCTCACGTCTTAGAAAGAGTGGCTAGGGCAACTGAAAAAAGGCTTTACGGAATACAAGATAAAGACTCATTTACATTTTGAAAATAGAGTTATCCAAAACAAAGAGAACAGGATTTAAATTGTTTTGCGTGACCATGTGGCTTCGCAAAACGTGTGCTTTGCTTTTATATTTACAATCGTTTAGGTTTTTTAGCACTACACATGTCAGAGCAGTGAAATTTGCATTAGTTTTGTTGACTGAGGGGTGCAAATTTGCGTTTCAGTTGTGCTAAGTTAGACTATTGGACCTTCCGTGGCACGAGTGTCGCGGCTTCTTGAAGCACGTTACACGTTGTAGAAGCCCTTTGACGGTGAAAACAATAAATTTGTTAGATAGCCGTAGTGATTGGCCGAGTGCGCTTCGGAGGTGTGAAAATCTCCCAGCTTCGGACAACACCCGCGGCACGTCTAGACTATTTTAGTACTGCCCTACACAAACATTTTGCCAAAGATTTCACGCGTTCCTGTACTCCAGCGACTTTGCAAAAATCGAAGGCAGCCTGTCGTGCACTGCACCATTTCGTGACATCAGGTGAGTACACGTAACCCATGTGAATACTACTGAACGCTTGTCAAACATGTTCGGCTGGAAAGGCGCATATTCATTTTATTAGTACTTCTCTTATCTTGTTCACGGGCGAGCGCAATTTCGACGAAGAAATTGCAGATTTTCCCCATAATCTTTGCCTAGATAAGAGAAAACCCACGCGTTTCATCTCGGTTACCAATAATACCTGAATACTGGTAACTTACCAGACCAGGAGTTGCACAATTTCGTCATTGAGTGATTTCGTGACTCGAAGTTGGCTCATTAATTCTCGAAATTGAAATAACATGGGTCCTTTCTTCTTTCAACTGACAGGAAAAGCACCGGAAAATTTAAGAAAAACCCGACTTATATAAGTGGATCTTTTATACTGAACACAACATGAAGTAAGTACTTTGTCTCACAAATTTGTAAATTAAGCGGGTGAACAACCAAGCAAGCGAAATACCAAGGAATTGGGATTCGTGAGGTTTGCAATGCAAAGAAGGAATTTTGTAAAGTACTATTTCAACAGTCACTGTCATGTTAAGCTATAGTGAGAGAAAAAAGGCACGAACGAAAATTACGCGACAGTTCTTTAGGCTGGATAAATCTTTATTTCCCTCTGAAAGAACATCACTCTTTTTGCTATCGATTTGGCATGTTCAGTCGGTGAATTGTAGACGAATCACAAAACCAATTACTTTACATCTAAATCAATGAATCTATGGCCATTTGCAAATAGATATCAAGCCCATGTTCGTGCTAGCAACATGTTTCCCATTCGCCACGTGTCATAAACGGATTTTTTTTCTTTTCTGGTCATTGCAGCAAAATTTGGCGGCCATGGCTCGAAACACCCGAAGACGATCAAAGAAAACAGCGTCAAGTACGATTCACGGTGAGTTGATGGATAGGTTTCTAAAGAAAGATTGACTGAGATTTCTACAGCTCAAACGAGAATAATCAGAAACGAATTTTCAGTGAAACTTTGACTACAATCAAAGGCCTAATAAAGTATTTCACAAGATTCTTTTCACTCTTGGAAACCATTAGGTTGTAAAGCAAAGTGTGGTTTTCTTTTAGCGCAGGAAACCTTTCGGCTCTTTTGCTTATCCGGTTTTTTGTTTTCCATCAATTTTGGAGTGAAAAGGAAGGAAGTTTGAAGGGAATTATATAAATCATCGCGCTTTATTTTAATTTCTCATAAATCAACTACTCGCTGTGGGTACTTTGCTGAACTGTTTCTCTTAAAATTTGCACGACTCTTTGACGGAAAAACGCTGATTTTTTTCTGATCGTTTTCCTACTCTGTTCCTAAAAGAAAAAAATTTAATGAAATTACGCTTATTATGCATAAAAATAAAGTTATTCTCTTTATTAACTGAAAAAAAATTCTTAATAGAGGAACCTTGTTTTTAATATATCTTCGATCTTCGAATGATGGGAACAGTAAAAGGATTCGAAATCATGAAAACGCGATGAAAGAAAAATCTCCAGGAAAGCGTCTATTTAAAGGGTCAATACCCTGTCGTTTCACCATGAAACAGAAACATCCCTTTTGAACTGAGCCCTTAAACACATTGAAACTGATAAAGATATGGCTCTTTATATCGATAGAATTTTTTGAGGGAGTGTGCAAGCAATATCGGTGACCAGCTTCTTGCGGGTGGGACCAATTGATACGACTAGAATCTATTTTATGTCGGTGGGATGTATCTTTTTGCCATTTATTTATTTTTTTCCGGCAACACACTATTGCCACTCATTTGTCCCAAGTTAAGTTATTGGGATACCCTTTCAAGAAGATTTCCATCTTTTAAGTTTCTCAGCGGGCTTGACTCGTCCTAATTTACAGGTCTGTCAAAGCGGTTGCAAGTACCCGCGCGATATCGAATTGTCGATTGACCTTCGTCTAAACAAACCTTTCCATACCTGACATCTGCTATTCATTTTTTTAGAGTAGCTTTCAAATTGTCATTCGGTTACCTGTACTGAATCTGTTAGTTTGCGCTAGATTGTTTATGTATAAAACAGGAAAACGATTTTAAGCTGTTTGTCTGTTAAAGATGCGCCGTAACTCGGTTACTGCGGTACACGCAGCGCGCTATAGAACGTTTAGACGCAGTGTTCAAGCAATAGAAATTGACCATGTTCTAATTTTTGATTATTCAGATTCTAAAAACACTAACCGAGTTAATGTTATGGTGGGTTTGTGAATAAATATACATCAATTTAGGGACATAAATTGAAAAACAACGTTTTTTCTACGATAAGTATTCTTTTTTAATGTGATAAATAGAGTTAGACCGTGAAGGAAAGCGGCACTTTAAGTCTTTGCCGATGTTTAGCAAACCCGCCGTAAATGGGCAATGAACAACCTTAACCCTGATATGAAAACTCGTTCCGTCCGGTCAACATACTTAAAAAAAAAATTAATCGTTCCTCTACCTCGTTAAATTTATCACAGTGTGCCTACTAAAACCTTAAACGAGCAAGCAAGTGAAAGCTCTGTAGGCAGAATAAGCCAACGGGCTTCTTAGACTGCATTTAAGCAATTCACTTCTGCAGGTTTTCAAAAGAAAAAAGTCACTTTAATTTTTTACCGTTGCCTGGCCGGGGTGTTTTAAGCTTTTTTCTGTATCGTAACTGATGGTTAAAAGGCAAGATACAGTACTACAATAAAGTCTTGCCCGCCATTTCTGCGCGAGGTGGTTAACTTGAGTAGTAGAATTCACTTCCAAATTTAACGTCGTTACATTATTTACAACCGAAGGCAGAACCAGTTTCGGTCAATAACCGGTTACAACCCTTGTTTTACTGGAGTTCCCTGGTATCAGAGTAGTCTACTTCAGCTTTATAACAGAACTAGAAATTTTGCTTTTGAAATTAGCCATGAATCCTCAATCGATGTCCAAGACTCAGGATTGGAACATTCAAAAAGTTGCTACTTCAGCATAGATATCTATGTGGGTACTAGGGGTTTGAAAAATTATTTCGAATATGAAGAGATAAACTCGTTACTAATCTTTGACTAAGAAGTCAAATTGTGGTTTCGATTAACTTCCTTTGGATTTTTATTTTTAGATGTAAAACTTCTTGAAACAAGTATGCGGTTGTAAGCTACTTCCGTCGTTACACGATAGAAAGGAAAATTATTTTTGCATCCACAACTTTTGAAGGGTTTTTAGTTATGAGCTTTTGCCAAGCAAACGCCAAATTTCTTATCAACTTTCGGGATAGAAGTCAATGATTTATTTAGTATAGAACAACAAAGACAACAACAACATTAAGAAGACAGATTTCAGCTCTGAAAGAGTTTCCATTTTCGAGATTTTAATTGTTAAAAACCTGTTAAATTCCATTGATGCTTTCGGGACTTCAAATGCGGTAATGATACAGAAATCACTGATTTTATAAGTGTAGTGCAGTAACAACAACAGCAACGACATTAATTTAGAATACCGCGATTTCAACTCTGTTCTCGTGAATCGTAGACACTGCACAAAATGGTTGATCGAGGACTAGATAGTGCTGTAAGAATTTCACGAACAACACATTAATTATTGTTACTTACTCGTTGTAATATTCTTATTTTTATTCCGAAATAGCCCTATGGATCGCCAAGTACAACAGGGAATGTACAGCAACAACCACAATTTAAACATCCAGTCAGGTAAGCCACCAGTAATAACATATCTTCGAAATGGTAATTGGCACAGTGATTTTCCGAGAAGAAAGGGAGAACTTATTTACGTCAATTTTTCGAGCATCTACGTTCATGTATTTGACTTGATTCAAGATAATTAAAAACGAACTGGCCAGCGAAAGGAAGAAGAACGTTCCGGCCTTTTCCGTTCATCCTATTGTTTACACAGGGACGCGCCGTTGCTGTTTTTCTTTTCCACTTAAAAGACAAAGGAAAACGAAACAAGGAAGTCTTCTTTGAGTGAATCATTCATATTTTACTTAACCGTGGTTCTAGGGGTCCCCTCTTCTCTATTTATAAATCAAATACAGAAGAAACTGCGTAAAGAAACACATAGAAGAAAGTGAAAACGTCATGGAAAGCGGTACTTTAATGTTCCTAGCGCTTACGCTTTAAGGATCGACTATCGGAAAGTGACTTTCAAGTGTGTACCGCAAAAAAGTTTGTGGTTGACCAACGCAATAAGTACCTTGACCTCAGAGTCAGTAAAAGATTGAAATGAAATTGATAGCATTTCTATTTTAATGACTTTTTTCGGAGACTCTACCGGTAGAGTAATCCTCATGAATACAAAGATGCTTGCACTTACCATGCATTATTTATAGTCAACTGAGTAAATTTCGCGGTCATTACCAAAGTAAAACTTGTCCAGATTCAGGGGTTATTTTGTTGGAATGGACCTTTTAGTTTTGCCAACTTATTTGGCGAAGCTTATTCTTGACACTATAGCAATGAAAATCGAGACTATTGGAAAAGATTGTGTTACAGAAACCGGGGAACATGACAGCTGTAGTAATTGTGGATTTTCATGCATTCATTTTTACTATCTTCACCCTTTTTAAAGGTTACTCTGGACGAAAGCCGCATATGATTACATGTACGCATCAGGAGAAACCTTACTTCGGAATTTTCCCGTTCAAGCGACCATCCAAGTCGTAGATAGTAGTGATAGTAGCGATGACGAGGACGATGAAGATCTCGACGAATGCGATGAAAAAGAAAGTGAAAAGAAAGTAAAGCAGTAGCCAATTATTTAAAAAGTAACTATTTTGTACATAAGTAAATAAGTCCTGCAAAGGAGATATATATATATATATGTGCCACCATACCGAAGTTACTTTGGTAAATTAGAGGTGCTTTGAGCTCCAAAGTAAGACAGATTGGGTTAGAGATTTTTGGGGTAATTCCTCGGAAAAAAAAGTTATCGAACAATTTTTCTAAAACTTTCCTTATATGTTCCCTAGCAATGTCTGTTTCGAAAAATACAAGTTAAAAGATAGGTCACCGTGCTCGTTTGAGAGATATAATGAGCCAAAGTTACCCCGCGTATGCCTGTTCTGGCACTAATCACGTGGGTCATTTGATCGGTTCACGGTACATTTTGAGGTAGTTGGAAGCAAAGTTCTTTAAAGTAACACTTAAAAAAAACTTGATAGGTAGAAGGTCTCGAGCATATGGAACAATATGATACATAATTTGTGAAAAAACCATGCAATTTTATACAACATCGACTTAAAACGTTCCTCGAATCGTTCCTTTCTAGGTAATATTTTGCATCATCAAGTAACGAGCTTTGTGCACGTTTTTTAGCCATATTTTTTTCCCTTTCGCTGAATTTTTCTTTAACTTGTCCAATTTAAAGGGATAAATTTGCACACCAAATTTATGCAATAAAAAATATAAGTCACCGTGCTCGTTCACGAGCTAAAGACCATCATACCTCTTTACCCAGTCCATTTATTGAAAAACAGAGCCATGTTCTCGGAATGTGCGCTTGCTTATTCGCCTGATTACGAACAGGATGCCCAGTGAAATGTTGAGGAATCACCTTAAGTTATTTATTTGCAAATGCATCTAACAAAGCACTTTTTGATTGTGTCTTGTAAAACCAAAACCAAAGAAATCACTGGGACAATCAGGACGAAGGGTGACGATAGCCAATGAGAAGTCAAAGTAAGAAACATGAAAACGGCTCAAAGCGCGGGAAAACCCTATTGACAAAGTGTCTTGGATTTTTCACTCAATCGAAAATTGTTCCATCGCGCAAAAAACTCGCAATATGCGACTGTAACGGTGGTAAGAAACGAAAAGTCCTCATGGACGTAATTGCACCCTCTAAATTAGCTTTTGAGGTTTTTTTTACATCAAGTTTATTGAATGTATCAAGACGTTTTGATCGCCAAAGTAGTTTACCTTGTACACTTTTGTAAATACAGAAAGATATATGCAATTCTAAAAACGTCCTAGCTGAATTGAATAAAATGTCTAAACAGTATCTGTCATTGCGTTACAATCGCCATACTCAGAAATTGCTCTTGAAAGAAGACAATATTTCCAAATTTTTAGGCCTTTGAAGAAACCTGGAACATCGATCAGAATAAGGATATCTATTTGATATTCTACCGATAAACCATTGTAACTCGTTGTATATGATCATCTTGTACAAGCAAAGTTTATTTCCTGTAGCTTTTATTCATACGAGTCTCTGGCATAAAAGTAGCACTCTCTCCTGATCTATGCTTCAGAGAAGTAACTTGGGTGATAAGTATGAACCACAAAATGGTTCCAATGTAAATAACACCATTGACATGCATATATCATACAAGCTGTGCTTGCACCTTTGTATATGTTTAAGTTGATATACTAGATATTTTATGGATGAATTGTGATAATAAATAAACGCTATTTAAATGGACTGCTCATGGTTTTGAAGTATTGAAAGTGTTGTGAATCAACTATCTACTTGTATTATTCCAAACTGGATTAGTTTTTACAAAACCTATATTCCGTTCACACCAGCAAAACACGTTTAGTTCAACCAGGTTTAGCTGAATGAAAATCAAAAACAGGGAATTGAAAGACTGAATTTTCCATTGTTTTCAAGTAGTCACTAACTTTTTATTTTAAATGTGCTAAATTTTAGCTCGACAAACATCGGTTTACGCAGCCTCTATAAAGAAAACAATATTCAGCCATGTTAAACAAAAAGCTGTAAGACATGTTTTGGTGTGAATGGGGTGCTAGTCTAGAAGTCATGGCGATGAATTTTAAGCTATTAAAATACCTTAAGTAAAACTAAAATGACTGTCCTTACCGCCTTTTTTTCCTTTAATAAGTCGCTTCTAATTTTATATGACGTAGATTTACAAGACGAGATCGAAAACTTCACACTACTAAACGGCGGAGCTACGGTAGACTAAGATCAGTCCCTGTCTTTCCGCGAAGTGCGTCGCGCGATTGAAAAAAAAAATTAGCTAACATCAAATTTTTATTGTTTCGCTTATTTTTATGACTCGTGCGGCACACTTCGATGAAAAAGAGGGACTACTCCCTAATCTAAGCTACAGTGTCACTCTTGCTGCATCTAAAAACCTGATCAACTTGATAAATTCAAGTTGATCGCTTGCATTCCACTGTCATTCTTCCCATCCTTGGCAATCCTTGTACCTTTCGGGAATATTATAATCTCTTGGTGCTTTTCTACTCTAGCAAACCATTTTTCATAAATTGTTTCACTATTTCAATCTTTTTAAAGCCAACTCACCATAAAGCTCGAATGACTAAGCGAAGTAACTCCTCTGGGATTCTTCTGTTATCTCAAACATCGGGCGCTTTTCCGGCGAGTGTGGCAAATCACAAACCAATGTCAACAAAACGATCGATAAGGACAAACGAGAATATCACAAGAACCCTTTGAGAACTCGAAGAATAAACAAGCAATCTGCTGGAAGGGCGGGAAAACGCAAGTAACAATTGACTTAATTTTAATATCTGATTAGTTGGCCACCGTAAAGAGTTTTAAAGCTGACGTTTCTAGCGTTAGCCCTTCGTAATTCGCTCTGACGAAGTGCCAACGCTCGAAACGTTAGCTTTAAAATTCTTTGCAGTGGCCAATTTCCGTTATCAACTCAGTTGATAATACTGAATTACCCTGCTATACTCTCTTACCGACACAGCACCACAGCTTCTTCAGAAACTTACCCCCTTTATTCGATCCCTGATTAGTTTCGACATTCGATTGAAAATTGCTCTCAAATACATCTCAATAAAAATCTTATCGCAGTTACATCAATAAATAGCATTTTAAAGACAGTGTTAATACCATGTCGAGTTAACACATCAAACTTCATGATTCCATGGTCTTGCCTATGCTTTCTTTTTAACCCTTTAACTCCCGTGAGTGACCAAGACGGAATTTCTCCCTACTATGACTATACAATATCAACCAGATAAGTGATGAGAAAAAAAAATATTAATTTGGGGATAATTAGTTGATCCAATACTAAATTCTCTGAACTAACATTATAAGAATTGTAAGGTTGACAGTAAGGAGAATTAAAAATTTGATCAGGGAGTTCATGGGTTAAAAGCCTACTATCACCTAGGAAATTTCAACTCCTACTTTAAATAACGTGAAAAGCACGTTGAGCGTCTTCTTACTGTAATTTGTTTTCCATGTGTTGTAATTTCCCAGAGCGATTCATCTCAGTCTTTGACCTAACTTCAGAAAAATATGCAACTTTGTACAAATTATTCTTTCCAAACAATCATTCATTCCTTTCATTGAGACTGTCATAACCTTTCCACGCACATAGCAATTCCCATCCCGCCACCAATACACAAGGCAGCCACGCCTCTTCTTGCTCCTGTTCTTTTTAAGCCATGTAACAATGTCACAAGAATTCTACATCCTGATGCACCTATTGGATGGCCAAGAGCTATAGCACCTCCGCTGATATTTACCTGTCAAGAATAAGTCAGAACCTTAACCACTGGTCAATTACTGGTCAAACAGTCGCAGTTTGGATAAGGGGGGAGGGGGGGTTTGCAAATGTTGTGACCTCCCTATTTGTCAAGAGGAAGAACCAGATCAATGTCAGCATCTGAGAAATTGCACACCTACCCCTCCCCTAACCCAATAACAGTCAACTGATATCGAGTTAGGATTTATGTTGGGTTAGGGGAGGGGTAGGTACACAGTTGTTCAGATGCTGACATTGATCCAAATAATCAACTCATAAGTATCAAACAACCAAGTTTGCCCCCAAATGTTAGTAAGATGACACTGTAGTAACTTGAAAAAAATAATCCTTTTCATACCCAGTATAAGCCTGACACTTAGACTGCTTACAGTAGCTCCCTCAAAAAATTGAAGTTGGTCACCTTGGAATGTCTTGCTATCATGCTACCCAAGTATTTCCCAAGTAATGTTTCTCATTGCCCGTAGAGCTCTGGGTTTTGAGTACTCTATAGAAACAGCAATCAAGCTGGAAGAAAGAGAGGGGTAGCACTTCAAATCTCCCCTTTTATGGCTATGTTGCTCCGTTGGGAAAACCCCGATATTTTCTAGTAGATTACGGTATGGGAGGATAAATGAATGAAATGATGAATGACCAAGGAAATCAACAATCAATTATGCCCTGAAATTAATGGCACAAGGAAAAAGTCAATTGGATGCAACTACACAACATGAACCTGTACAATGTTTTCATAATTAATATCAATGTCAAAGAATTTGAAAGGTCATTTGGTACCTTTTTTGAATTGAGCCCTAAATCTTTCACAACAGCACAAGACTGTGCTGCAAATGCTTCATTCAGCTCAAACAAGTCAACATCTTCAAGTTTCCATCCTGCCTTTTGAACCTATGGAAGACAAAACAAAGGAAATGTTTCTTTTGTGTAACATTCACCTTCATTTAAATTGTTTTTAAAAAGTAATGCAGCTGTAATCCTCTTACTGGTAGGGAGGGGGAAGAAAAGTTCTTCCCCTTAAGTTTCTTTACCTCTTTTCTCACTCTAAGTGATGTTTGTTTTTGTTTTTGTTTTATTTGCTTTATCTTTTCTCCAAAACTTACATCTCTCCTCATCTTTAATACCATACACAACTCTTCTTTTTTGCTTTCCAGATGTTTTCCCAACCCAAGTGCTCCTCATTCCTACACTTTGTACCCCCCTTCAATAAAACTAAAGGTCCCAACCATAAATGAACATTCTTAATCATCCTCTGATTTCATGTTGACAGAACATCCTTTCCTTCCTTTCAAATTATAAAAACAATGCAACCCACTGAAAGACTTATCAAGCCATCAATCAAGCAAGTGAGCAATCAATAAACCAATCAAGCTGTCAGTCAATTAGTCAATTGGCTAAACAATCAATTATCCATGTGCTTAATAGATGGTTGTCTAGTCAGCCAGTAAGTCACTTACTGAGCCAGATTGTCACAAAAACATAGTTTCCTTACAGCTTTTCTTGTTGCTGGAATTGGTCCTGTGCCCATCACTGCAGGTTCAACACCAGCCTGACCCCATGAAACTATACGAGCTAAAGGGACCACACCTCTCCTAGCAGCCTCGGCATATGACATTAGCACAACTGCAGCAGAACCATCATTGATGCCAGAGGAATTTCCAGCTGTAACTGAACCAGTCCCGTCTTGAAGAAAACATGGTTTGAGACGAGAAAGACCTTCCATAGAAGTGCCATGACGTGGAAACTCATCCTCTGTAACATCGACTGTCCCTGACAAAAGAAGTGAAAAAAAAGTTTAAATTAGAATAAACCTCTGGTTTTTATGGATTCTGCTATTATGACTATCATTGTTGGTGATAAGAACAAATGAATGTAAACTTACAGGGCTAGAGTATTTGAAACTAAATTTACACTTACTAATAGTAAATGAAATATAAAGAGACTATATGTTGTCATGGTGGTTAATTCACCTAAGCACCACCCATACTTGGCCTAAAATAAAGTATATAACTTCTGCATCATAGCAAAACATAAATACTTTCATACTTTACTCTGACAGTGCTTGGGAAATTGACAGTTTTATGAGACTTGGTGTTCAGGAAAGCTTGATAAAATATTGGAGGTAACTGGAATAATAGCCAAGTCACCCACAGACTAACTTGCCCATGCCAACTCACCCACTCTTAAAATTACTTTTCCATAGCCTTTTAATTAGCATTCCTCATTGCAAAGGTCCTTCTCAAATCCAATCATTAACCCACAATTCATATATATGATTTTCATTTATTCACAGATATTAACAAAATGGAGTGTTCAAACACTTAGATGATGAGATCCAAATCCCAGAACAATTGCTTTGATTCTTTGGCTTAAAATATAACACAACCTGTACAACAACAAGGAAATGTAAGATCTAAATAAAATAAAAGCTTTCCTACTGGAAAAATCCACAATTCTGTCCATAACATCGAAGTATTCGTATGTTACCATATGCTGGTTGTTGAACACTTTGGTTTGTATCTTAATGGTATAAAGTCAAGAAATGTTGTTGAAACTTCAATTATTTCATCATCAATACATAAAACATCAGACCTCAACTTAAAACAAGACTAATTCTGTGATGAACTTGGCTTATTTGAGTGATTTCATATGAGTTGGCATGGGCAAATTGGTCTGTGGGTGAGTTGGTCGGATACCTTGCACTGGAGGAGCCACTTACATAGCTTGAGGGAAGACTTCACCTTTAAAAGGGAAGGCTAAATAATACAATACTAACAAATTTTAACATAACTCTATTTACCTTTTCTTGTTTTCACAGTAACGTTAATAATCTCTTCTTTAAAATGCCCTTCATTTTGAGCACTCTCAGCTCGGTTTTGAGAAACAACTGCAAACTGATCTTGTTCATTTCTTGTAACTTGCCACTGTTTTGCAACATTTTCAGCTACAACAAAATTAAAAATGCACTTTGTTACTTATTTTGATATATTCTATTTTCACTAACATTGTACTATGTTGACCTCTAAATTGATGACAAACACAAAAAGAAAAATAACCAGTTTATTTAATGATGAAAAGAAAGAATTGATAGCAAAGCTCAAGAGTGAGAAGTATTCATGTCTCATATTCTCACTTCGTCATCCCTTCAGTATAAATTTTGAAATTTAACATACAAAATGGATATTAATAAAAAAGAGAGCCTTTGGCCAGGCAGCAAAGCTGCAGCAATCACAGATGTTATGAGTATTCTCAAAGCTGAACTAGCAAGTGATTCAGAGCCTTTGGCCAGGTTGCATAGCAGCTATCATTGAGAGCAGCTCATTGTTCTTGTTGCAAGTGGTAAAGCAAAGGAAATGATTGGTGAAGCTCTCACCCAGGATTAAGTTAAGAAGCTTACTGAACAAGATGTTGAGAAGCACTTCAAGAGATATGAAACTTCATTGTCTTCAAAGGGTACCCAGTCAACTCGCCGACGGACCAACTCGCCGACGCCAACTCGCCGACATATAAAATCGAGTAGAGACGTCGGCGAGTTGGTCGTCAATCCAATACAACTTATTAGAAGTTAAACATACAGAAAAGTAAACGATATTTGGTAAATAAAGTAGTCTCAAGACGAATAAAGCGAAGTTAACATCGCCAATGAACAAAATTGGCTGTAGACGCCAATGAGTTGTGTGAGTCATTGGTGATGTTTACTTCGCTTTATTCGCCTTAAGATCCCTATAAACTTTGTTGCAAATAAAAAGAAATTCTTTTTACTAAAGATCTCGTCTAGAAAGCCAAGTTTTCGTTAAAAAATCTGAGCGATTGACATGATGAGTCTTTACGGTGTTTTTGTCGCACAATAACTCGTTCGCGTCTTAAGCTGTTATAGTCATTGGTGATGTTCACCAATGTTCACCAATGTTTAAGCTTCTGTCTGATGTTCACCAATGTTCACCAGTGTTTTTTACTAAATATCGTTTAATTTTCTGTATGTTTAACTTCTAATAAGTTGTATTGGATTGACGACCAACTCGCTGACGTCTCTACTCGATTTTATACGTCGGCAAGTTGGCGTCGGCGAGTTGGTCCGTCGGCGAGTTGACCGTAATTCCTTCAAAGACTTGAGATGCAATAGTTTATACATTCCTTCAGCTCTTATGTAAAGTATTGGCTCATTTTGTCCTTGTTGATGAAAGAAAACTTCTGAAGGACTTGAGCAATAACTTCATGGTAAAGAGAGAACTTGGAATGATTCCTGGTGGATTGAGTCTGAAGTATGGAAAGTACATGGCAATCGCAAGTGCTGCTCTTCTCACAGCCAAAAATGTTGAAGTACCCTTGGTCAATGATAAGGAAATAGATAGTATTTATGAAGAAACTGATTAACTTCTTAATAAGAACTTACAAATTATATATCAACAAGTAAAATGGATGATAAAGAACTTAAGACTGAAGAAGCACTAGCCAGCCTTCTGCCAGGGCCTGCAGGGGCAAGCCTTCAGCCAGGCTTCATACAGATGACTTCAACTGATAAAAATAAGATGAAACCAAATAAAGACCCAGAGCATGTTGCAGCTGGCAAAAAACTTGCTGAACACAATAGAAGAGTTCGAGAGGAAAAGGAGAAGAAAGGAGGTTCAAAGGATCCAAGCCCCAAGAGGGCAGGCCATGGAGCGGCAAGATTACAACTACAACCAGAACCATCATCATCATTCTCACTCACTCAAATTCTTTTAGTAGCAAGTGTCATTCTTTCACTGGCTGGATTGTAACATAAATAAAAGAGTTGATGGCCTTCATTAATAAAGCAAAACCACAGGCTTAAGCACAGCAAGGTGACACGCAGCAAAACACACAAACACAGATTGCTTCTTCGAGGCCCGGCCAAAGGCTTATCATTACTTGGTAAGAGAAATGTTCAAGAGAATCGTTCAAGAGAATCATTCCAGATTATAGTAGTCACACCCTCTTTAAAACTCATGAGTGAGACATTGTGAATACTATTCACTTATATCTATATACTATCCAGGAAACAGGTAAAGAGAATACTCAAACTTATCAGATAGAAGTTGTTATCTTGATCTAACATCAAGATTGGAGAATTAACAATCAAATCTTGAGAGTTAAAGAGTTACAGGAAAAAGGACTTTGGTTTGAGAAGTCTGGATTTGAGCCCTGGCTAAGGTGGTGATGTTGTGCTTGAGACCTGTGGCCAGATACTTAATCCTCACAGCACCTTATAACGCCTGGAAGTATAAATGGGTAGCGGCAAATCATCAAAAAAATTATTGATTAATTGCTGATGTACTAGAGTGAAGTTGACATTCCTTGCTTCATGCTGCTGAAGCTATGGTAAGTTGCAGCAGTATAAGGATATTATACCCTCAAGACAAATATACCATAAGATGTGATTTGAAATCAACTGAATCATGAGATAATGTAACATTGTGCAGCATCAAAACCCCTTGTACCTGTTACTCCCATGTGGTAGCCATGAAAAGCATCAATAAGTCCATCAAGCATCATAGTATCCACAAGTTTAGTGTCACCCATCTTCATTGGTGACCTTATGTTACAACAATGAGGGGCCTGTAAAAATCATAATACTTGGATTACTTATAATAATCATCACCTGACACAAAACATATTCCCCTCACACATTAAAAGTAATCAATGACAACTAACAGATCCCCCCCCAAGACAAACAAACACGCTGTAAAACTGACCAATAAGCTCAGTTCACTAATAAGACTCATAACATTGGACTGACAAACAACTTTCCACAAGACCTTTATGGCAACTTCTGTCGAGGTTATAGAAATTACAGTCACTGCCACCGACAACACTCTTTTACAGGACTTTTTAACCCTTTCACTCCTAAGATCTCATTAGCAATTCTCCTTACTGTCTGCCACACAATTCTTACAAAGTCAGTTCTAATAATTTTGTATTGGATCAAATAACAACTAATCCCCTAATTTATATATTTTGTTCGGTATTCTCTTTTTTTTGCTTAAAATTGTATCAATAATGTAGGGAGAAATTTTATCTTGGTCACTCATGGAAGTTTAAGGGTTAATCCAAGGCCCATATAGTTTCATTTGAATCAGTCCAACTTTACACTGAAGAGATAAAATTTTGAAACAAATCAATAATATCAACCTACAAGAATCAACTGAAGGGTGACTTATTGAAGCAAATAATGATGTCAACATTTGAAAACCAAATTTGATTTTTTTCTGTCAAAGAAAGGTTTGATGGGAATTAAATATATGAATCCTTTAGAAGGTCAAGTGAAAACAGACAAGCATGTTGTTTGTATATGAAAAAAAATCCCTGCATTTGAGGTTAGAGAATCACAACTAGACAAATCAAATTGCATGCTATATAATATATATGAATTCTTTTTCTCACTCATAATGTGTGTGTGAAACCTTCAACCCTTAAGCCCCTAAGAGTGACTAGCATCTAATTTCTCCTTACTATATCACCCCTGAATCAAACATGAAGTCACAAGTATAGAAGAGATGAACACCAACTAAAGCAACTCTTGACTGTTAAACAAATTCTCCTCGTCAGCCTCTTTGGAAATGTTTGAAGGACAGTATGGAGAATATGCATACTGATGTTAGGGTGTAAAGGGTTAAGCATTTTTTAGGGGTTTATTGAGGTCAAAACCCTACCTGGCTCATACTTTCCTGACCCCCAGCAACAACAACAGCTGACTTGTCAGTTATAACAGCTTGGTATCCCAAAGCAACAGCCTTTAAACCAGATCCACACAACATGTTCACACCATATGCTGGAACAGATGATGGGATACCAGCATTCATTGCTGCTTGTCGTGCTGGACCTTGGCCTTGCCCTGCATGAGGTAACCCACAACAGAGTAAAAGATTGACCATCTCCATTAAAAAAGGTGCTTTTCACATTTGACAAAATCTGTGACAAGTAAGGATATGTTGAAATTATGTTCAGAAATTTTCAGTAGCAACCCTTCCAGATCCTCTATGTATTGAAATTACACAAACTAAAGTAAAGTAGTAGAAGACAACTATTGAAATTTTTCTTTCGCTCTCTGACAACAAAATTAAATAAGTAAATGTTACTTTGATTAAAGTTAAATGTTGTTGATTCATGTACATACAAAGGTAACACACCTGTAAGTCAATTTTTGACAAGTAATATTTGATTCAATAAATACAGTTTCAATTGGATTAAATTTTTTGATCATTTACAAACTAAATTTTAATGTTTTGCCAAATAATCAATCAATAACTCTGTTTATCATTTGAAATTTTAAGCAAACCTTTGTCTGACAGTCACAAACTTTTTTTTAGTCCTATAGCCCATCTTACCTCTCCCTCACCCTTTTTTTAATCTCATCATAATTTTTAAAATTTTTTTTCACAAGTTCTTCTCGTAACCCCCCTCCCCCCACCTCTTTCCTGAGCGCCTGGTTGGGGGTGGTGGGGGTGGAGTGGGTAATTTGAAAATCTGAACGAACCTGTAATAGACAAAGTTACATCTTCCAGGCTACAAAACAACTGCAATTTGATAAATAAGAGATTATATCTTCAATACACACCAGCAGTGCAAACCTGTCCCATAATCACCTCAGCCACGTCGGCTGGGGAGATCTTAACGTGCGCCAAAACTTCTCGAATGACCAAGGCGCCAAGTTCATGCGCTTTAAGAGAGCTAATACAACCATTTAAGTTTCCTATTGGCGTTCTTCCGGCTGCAACAATTACAACATCCGAATCATTGTATCCCAAACTAGCCGCCATTTCCGAAAGTCGAGGAAAGTGACCAAGTGACACGTGAAAACTCCTGGCATCTAGTTGGCACTTTTTGTTCAGAATGACACGACATATCTTTTGTAATGAACTATCCACTGATTGATTCTACTGCAGGCTCAACTTTCAAACTCAAGGAACATTTGGAATATGGCGTCACAAGTCGTTGTAGAAGTAAGTCGATAGCTATATCCTTTAAATCGACTATTTCTCCCTGCATTTAAATTAATTTGTGATTAACTGATCCCTTGATTTAAAGAAAAAGATCTGAACGGAGTTTTGTACTTTTCCTGTAGAGTGAGGGTTCTAGATCAACTGCGATGGAAGGCGAAACTAGTGCAAGCAAGAGTTCTGTCTTAGATGAAAACAATGAATTAGAGGCTGGTCCTTCATCATCGTCTTCCTCCACATCAGCCGATGATAAACGAGCGGAAAGAATGAAGAGATTGAGAGAGCTTCATCTAAGAAGGGTTAAGTCATTGTTTCTGTTTGTTACAAAATATAGAAAAGCTATGTAGGTTACATATGGATCGGATTTTTGCCTTAACATAAATTGAGATGATTTTTTTGCCCGTTCTTGACAATTGATTAGACTTGTCTGGGGTCTATAAGTTATCAAAGTATGTTGCTGAATTTAACGAGGAACATTGATTTCGTGAATTCATCTCTGAAACTCTTCATTTTAAATGTTTACAGAATGAAGCACGTAAGTTAAATCATCAAGAAGTGGCAGAAGAAGATAGGAGAAAGAAGCTACCTAAAAACTGGGAAGCTGTGCAGCGAAGAGTAGAATGGGAAAACAAAGAAGAAGAGGCTAAAAAGGTATATATATATATATCTATGCAAATGTTTTTAATTGTCCATTTCATACTGATATAAAAAACTTTTATTGCTGGTTATCGTTGATATTCTTTGAAGCAGGCAATGACCAGAAAATGAAGGTGTCATAACCCTACTAGCTATTAATAACTATGCTGACTCAAGTAGTACAATTGACTTTTTTTTAAGTCTTTGGTAATTAAATGTAGACCTGGACAAGGCTTTTTGCATGTCATGTGCAATATTCTTGTTCTGAGCTTGTCTCACCTTGCCACAAAATTGTTTATCACTAGACTTTAGTAAGCCACAATGCTGTCACTGCTTTGCATATCTTAGCCACTTGATTCTACCAATTCTCTTCCAAAAGATGTAGATAATTTATTGCCAAGACTTAGCAATTTTGGTGTATAACATGAAAGGGAAAGTAGGAGAATGATGAATATGATGTAAACATGAGAAAATTATTTTTTTAAATGGTAGTCTTCTCAATAGAGTGTCTCAACTACTTTTGTTGGTTTTTGCCATTTGTCATGTCAGATCAATCCACTTTTTGTAACATCCTAGAAGGGAATCTTATGAACAATGCACACCTATGGTTTTGTATCATATAATCATATGGATAATCCTCTGACTGTCTTAGGAAGCTGATTCACGGGGAGAAGATTATGACAGAGTAAAGTTGCTTGAGATATCTGCAGAGGATGCTGATAGATTTGAGAGAAAGAGGAAAAAGAAGAACCCTGATCAAGGTTTTTCAGGTATGCTATTGATTTTTAAATTATTTACAAGCAGTTCAGCAGTTTTATGTACTTTGAATTCATATATGTTTTTCTTTCTTGAGAGGAGTCTATACAAGAATTTGCCTCTGCTATGAATCAGTTATTCAATATATTTTTCTAGGAGCATGTGAACTAGTTCTAATGCATGAAGTGACGTATCTGGCAGAAAAATCTGAGAACTTTCTTGAGGATAACTTTTTCATTTTTCTTTGGCAGATTTTGCTGCAGCTCAATACAGACAGTACCAACGCCTCACCAAGCAAATGAAACCTTCAAATGAAGATTACAAGAAAGAGGTTGAGCAAAAGTAAGAGGATGATTGGTGTAGGGTTGCATGGTTGTTATAAAAGCTCTAATTTTTTCATTTTCTGTGCAGATCAAGGTGGTAAATTTGATGAGTAAGTTTGAATATTCTATTTGTGTTTCTTTGCAGTGTAGTTTTTATTAAGTTAATGAAGTACATGCTAGTGAAAGAAGTGTAAGGCAGATAACTCTCCTGTGGAATGAAAGGTGTATACCAAGAAATCAAGTCTTGTTAATTTGTTCAAACAACCAAAAAACCCCTTTCCCCTGTTTTTGCCAAAAACTCCTCACTTACATATTGAAGTTTACTAATGTTTGCCATTTAATTTTAACTTCAGTCATGGTATCTTAAATAGTGATGCTTTATTGTTTTACTATTTGCACTAAAATAAATAACCATTCCTCTTCAGAGGGGAAGCCATGTTTCCCACTGTAGATGATGTCAGCTATGGAGGGCAAGGAAAAGTTCCAAAGGCTGCTGTAGACAGAATGGTTGCAGACTTAGAAAAACAGTAAGTACATGATATAATTTTGACCAGCATTCATCTTGAAAAGCTAGTGTCATACAAAATTACCTGTAAGAGTTTTTTTTATTGTGTGTCTATCTTTGCAAGCAGGTAGTATAATGTGATTGCCATGTTCTGATTGGCTAACAAATATTTAGTTTGATTCATAAAATTACACTTATTATTTATTGCCTTTGGACCATAAAATTACTGACAGAATACTGTTACACATCATGTATATATAACTTCATATAACTATGTAACTTCAGGAGATAAGATACTTCTGCCACGAATGTTACGAGCTGTTTAGAAAAAAAATAGATAGTCAACCACCTGGTAGAAAGTCCCTCTCAGTCTATTAATTGATAATTATGTTTCTTATTTTTATATCACTGTCATCAAGTTTTGTTTTTGGAGAGCAATGTTGATGCATACTCCATAGTAATAGTTAGTGCTGGCTTAGTGTTTGGTGAACTTAACTCTTGATCAATTAGTGGGTGTTCAAGCCCTATTTGAATCAATGTGTTGTGTTCTTGGGCAAGACACTTAAACCTCAAAGTGTCTCCCCCCTACTTTCACAATGCCTCTCATCACTTAGGATTGTAAATTATTAATTGGGATCAGTGATTGAGAGCCTAATAGACTAGCATCCTATTTAGGAGTAAGCTGCATGCACAGCAATTGGAGCTAATTTTCTCCAGAGACTCAATTTAACCTGTTTTTCATGATATGCATCTTTTTCCTTCTTGGATCCTGACAGTTAATCAAAACACCATGTAAGCTTTTGCTGCTTTGGCTTATCTGTAAACTTACAATCCTCCAGACATGGTTTGATGCTACTCTGGTTTGCAGATTCAATGAATGTAACCAAAGAAGTTAGGAGTGTTGAAATGTTGGGTCTATGAATTGTAACTTCTTTGGTTACATTCATTAAATCTGCAAACCAGAGTAGCATCAAACCATGTCTGATTGTCCACCTGGTTGCCGTGTGAACTTTAATATATTTTAAAATCCTCCTTTGATCACATTTACATACTTTCTGAATTTCAGGATTGACAAACGAGAAAAGTACAGCCGAAGAAGAGCTCACCTGGATGAAGAAGATATAGATTACATCAATGAACGCAATATGAAATTCAACAAGAAACTGGCAAGATTCTATGACCCATTCACTGCTGAAATCAAACAGAACCTAGAAAGAGGCACTGCAATTTAGGCAGTTAATTACTAAATTCATTATCTTCTTTGAGAACTAAATTTCAGAAAAATGTATGCAGCAGCTAGAAAGGAGATCTGAAAATCAGATATCAGTAGTAGAGGGTTGGTAGTTCAAGTGATGTTTCAATTCAGAGTGCATGTGTTGTTTCAATATTTGGCTTTCAGTCACTCTTGAGATAGTAGGAATCTTATAAAAAAAGTGACTTCCCATTTATTTTGTAGAAAAGTAGTGCTGGCAGTTGTACAGTGGACATGGAAATTAGGCAGGGGTCAAAACGTCATTTTTTGTGAGATTTTTAAAAGATGTTTGGGTCAGCTGCATGTGCAGGTTATAACAGAATTGTGGTGTCATTTATTTTTGAGGTTAGTGTACTTCAAGTTAATGTTGCATGATTTATGTTGTTGATTATTAATTTACCATTTAAGTGTACATGATTTTTTTTATCAAACTTTCCCGCATACTGAAGTCCATGTACTTCACCTTTATGTTGCATGATTCACGTTTTTGGTTATGTAATTTACTGCTTAAGTATGAGTGATTTTTATCAAACACTCCTTATACTATGGTATTAAAGTTTGAAAACGTGGGTGAAAACTGGATTCAGGCTTGCACGTCCATATCCTTGGATATTTCCCACTGAATGCACAACAATCTCTTGTTTAAGGTCACCTTTAATCACATAGTATTTCAACGTAATAATACGACAGATGACAAATCCTGTGTCAAGTGAACACCCGTGGACCTTAGTATAAGGTTTCCTCCTAGAATAGAGTTTGGACTATTATGTTGATGAGATAAATATTAATAGGTGAAAGAGATTTCTTGAATGAATGGAGTATAACCTTAAACTGTAATCTATAAAAAATAAAGCTTGAATCTCTTAATTAAAGAAAGGGCTTAAGTTCAGAGCACTTTGATGGTTTTCTACTAAAAACAAGTCTGTGTTTTAATAAATAATAGACTGTTACAGGACTTGAGTTGTTGTCTGCTTGATACAAGGTGTGCACTTGATAGAGTCTGCAGTGCAGGTTTCACTGTATTACTTTCTCAACAAACTTGCAAGGACTTTAATCTATGGTCAACTCAAGTCCATCTTGTGGATACTTAGATAAACATGTAACTTACACCTTTGAGGTCAGAGATGAAATGAGATATTCAAAAAGAAAACTTTTAATTCGCATCGAACAAGCTGATCTTTAAAACAGAAGATTAATGATGAATTGAAGTTCAAAGTAAAAGGTTAGACCTTGACAACAGTTAAATACTGTTGGTTTTCCTTGTTTTCCTGAAAGTTTTAGGGGGGCCGCAGGTTTTTATGATTGCTCCTCAGTTAAGTCCAACATCTTTATATCATTCCATTTTCATGCTAAGTATGGCGTTAATTTGTGCATAATTTACATCACTGACTGAGATATGCAATGACGCACACTCACCTATGCAATCAAGTGATTAAACTAGTGATCTGTAAAATCAGAACAAGTTATCAAATCATGTGACTCGCTTTAGCATGTAATAAAAATGAAGAGTGGGAGTTGTGTTAGATCTTTTGACACCTAAAGAGGCAAAAAACACACATCCTACTAGTGCATGCCAATCACTAATTATGTAAGATGTCTGTGTGCCATCTGCTGATTTTCCTTGAAATGGCAAAAGGGTTTAGTTGGTTACAGCTATGCAAGGAACTTCCAGCTGGCTTGTAAGTGTGGGCACACACAAGATTGACAACAAAAATTTGAAACTTATCTGACACCAATAATAGCTAAAACTAATAGGGTTAGGCAAGAGTGTGTCATAATATCACTGGGACAACACTGGCATGTACCAGAGTCAAAAGTATTCTTGAGACACTAGATACCCTGAAACCAAATTCCCAATATGAAAAAAAGCAAATATAACATTGAACTTAGTAATCTTGATTTAATAATTAACCACTTTGCCTGAAATGTTGACATGCAGGTTTGTAATTACCACTACACTTCGGGTTTGCATGAACTACTGCACGTAAAGTTCTCGTTGCCTTGGCAATATGGCGGCCAGTGCCCTCTCTCTTTCTGTCACAATGCTCCATTATAACTTTGAAGTTGAAACTTACAGTAAGAACTGCCAACGCTAAATAGCAGTCATCAGAGTAAAAATGCGGATTTCTATTGAAGAAAAGCATCTAGAAACTTCCACCTTTTTGGATAAATCTCGAAGTTATCGAAGTGCTCGGTTAATATCCGAAATTTCCAAATACAACCTTGGTCAAAAGCTGCAAAAGAAATCCCCTCCAAAATGCAAAAGCCACCTTTCGACTTGTATTCGTTGTCAATACCTTGACATGATCTTTGCAGTTTCAACTCTTCCTCGCTTGTTTTCCCGCTGAAACGTGGTCAACATCTTCAGCAACCTTTCTCTTCCTCGAGGACGAAGGATCGCTTGAGGAAAAATCTTTCTCAAAATCATACTCATGTCCATACGAAAAGTCCAGTTCGTTAAGAATTTGACATTCCTCCATGTAAGAGGCAAAAACAGTTTCTTTAATCCACCGGGAGAGCTCGTCTTCCATTGCATTTATATACTAAATTTGAACCTTCACGATGAGTCGGCGACAAGGAAATTAAATAATCCGCTGACAATACAAACCGGATGTTTTCATCCAATCACAAACCCTCAAAATTGGTCGCATGGGATTTTCTTCCTTCGTTTTGAAGACTATTTTTAGCAGATTACACCCCAAAATAAATGTAACAGGTCAAGGGAAAAAAAAGGAGAAAAAATTGTGATATAAAGTTTCTCTGATTCCTTCTTTCTCTTGTGCGACTGGTATTGAATTCAACAAGGGATGTGTGAGTAGAGGCAACAAATTCAACTCGATCGCCCTGTGTCGTTTTTCCTCCTATACGGTTTTTTGCTAGGAGATCTCAGTTGAACAAAAATTTAGTTGGAAAAGGATTCATCCTAATTCTCCCATCTTTTCTATTTCCTTTGCTTCTCAAGGCTTTGAATCTATCGTCGTAGTGTACTAACCCACCCTTCCCACGCATGACAATTTCTTATTTCCAATCTCCCTCACTTTGGTGTGGTGTAAGTGGGTTTTGGCAAAGGTCTTTCTTCTTGTCGGATTTCTTCCTAACATGCAGCTCGTAAGTCCGAAAGAGTGGTATTAGTACTGTTAGTATATTTTAAATTAATTTTTGAACGCCAGAAGAAGAACTGTGGGCGTACCAATGTGCTCAACATGGCAGAAGTTTCTTCCCGGCGAACGATTGAAGTTCTGCATAAAGTTCAATCTTATTTGGATGTCACTGAATCAAGTTGAGAATTAAAAGGTAAGTTGGGCCGAATGCTCTCCTCTCTTTGGCGATATTAATATTGGAAAGCAGGGTTCTTCTAAAATCATCAAAATTTGGCAGTACCTGAAGTGAAAACACTTGTAAAAAGACCCAGTATTTTTTTCGGCATGCTCCCGTCATGAGGTTGTATACAAACATCACACTCGAGCGATTCAAATGTATTGATCAAGAGGGGATTTCCGATCAGAGGGGAAGAACGATAGATTACTTCAAGAAACATCCCTTCCCAATCAATTTAGTAGGCGAAATTTATTTATATCTTTAAATACTTAACTTTCGCAGCGAAATAAATCGAATGAAGAAATGTCTGTCGTATTCTAGAATTAAGCTGTAAGATGTGTTGTAAATGATCTCGGATTAACAGATTTCGTTCTCTGATGGTCTTTGAGACCAATGTATTGTATGATGTTTGATCCTGTAATCAGCGTGGTTTGTTTGAATTATCATACAAATTCTTAAGTCCACAGCTCAACTCACTGGTGAGCTGTTTCCTCTAAAATCAGATTTGTAGAGTATTCAAATAAATTTTAGCTATGCGTACCCAAAACGAAAATGTTAATCGAAATATGTTTATGGTAGTTTGATGAAGATAGAATTAATAATTCTTCAAGCTTTCACGGTCAATCCACAAACCCAAACGTGTATTTTTAGACAGTCAAAAAGTAAGGGATGACATTTGTAACATTCTTGAGTAAAAGGAATCCAACACAATGTAAACTTTTCCTTTTGTCTTCATGGATGAACGTCATTGGGATTGATCACGCCATCTTTTGATAAATATTTAATTGACAGCGGGAAAAATTGCAAAATAAATATTCTGTTATGTCAGAACTTCCTTTAAAGATTTATTTAAAGTTTTAGCTACAGCATTTTATGGAAAATATCTTAAATTAGACAACTTGACTTCATTCCCATGCAAGAAATGTGTTAAAGATTATTTTATGCTGTCATATGCTTATAGAATAACACTTTTTGGCTTGGACAAGTCTCAATTAACTGCATACAGTCCAAATTAGACATATAATAAAAATCCATCCATTATTAATGATGAAAGCTGATTTGCACAAAGTATGGTCGCTTTCAGTAGAAAACAAAAGTCACAGCTTATGAGCCTGGAAAAAAATTAGTTTCCTTGTAGAGAAATATTTTTGTTTTTCATGTCATTAATGTTAGACAAGGAAAAATTCAATCCCCATGAGGACCTATTGATTCCATGCTGAGCTATGATACTGAGCTATGGAGACTCTTTGTTGATTCAGGCCATTAGTAGGTTAATTTGTGACATGCTTCCTGCTTACTGCAAGAATCAACATTGTTGAATGGCCTCCGAAAAGTTGATCATAGGAGAAAGATAGTGAATTTTAAGCTTGGAAATGAGTGAAGAAAGATGTTTTTATTTGTCTTATTATAAGTGTAGGACTTAGAAAAAATTCTGAGTGTGATGAGGAATTGATTCTCTGACCTTCGGTTTCCATGCTCTGACATTCTACCCTAGAGAGGTAGAGAGCTAGAGAGCTAGAGAGACTCGGCAATGAGCTAGGCCATCATAAGGTTCATAAATGACACCCATTTTGCTTACTGCCAGAGTCAATATCAAATGCCTCCTGTGAGTTCACCCTTTACACCCCAACATCAGTATACATAATCTCCATACTGTTCTTGATACATTTTCTGAGGTGGTGACAAGGAGATTTTGTTTGGAAATCTAGAGCTTCTTTTGGTGGTGATCATTTCCTTCATTCTTACGACCTTATTGTTTGACTCAGGGATTATATGTTAAAGAGAAATTTGATTCAGTCACTCCTAGGAGTTGAAGGGATAATGGAATTAATTTCTTTGATACTTAGTTTTAGTTTTCATGTCACCTAAGTTTTCTAGATGTACTTCTGGATTAAAAATATTAGTCTTGATAATCATAAGCAAGGGTGTAGCTTGAAGGTCTTGGGGTGCACTTGACCCTTCTTTAGTGACAGAGATAATGTTTTTCAAAGGGTATACAAACCTTTCAGCCCTTTAACTCCCAGAAGTGATTAAAATGTAACTGCTCCCTCTAATATCTATATATTATCCAGTGAACAGGTAATGAGAATACTCAAACTCATTAGGTAGTTCTTTTCTTGATCAAACACAAATTCTCTCAACCAGTTTCCAAGGAAATGTGTTGCAGTTAAAGAGGAGAATTGTTTATTAGATCTTAAGAGTTAAAGGATAATTCAGGTGGTGAAAACCCACGACTCTGAAGAACCTGCATGGTGTAAATCTTTAGTAGGTGTGAGATGCTCTGTTTGTTGATCCTTTTTGTGGCATGAATACAAGCTTGTCAAAACACAAGGTCTACCAGCAATTTAAGCCATTTAATTTAAGCCCACAAATTTTTTAACCCCTTTAAAAATTAAACCTATTTTCCTGTTGAGTTGTAATGTCAGAAGAGGGCAATTTGGCCCTGTGTGGAGTGTCCCTTCATCATTCTAATTGAATTTGAGATAACTGACATGTCATTCTTTAACTGTTGCCTTTATTTGTTGTCATTCTACAGAGTGTTTTATTACTCTAGGCATTGCCCTGTAAAGCAGTCCTTTTTAACACTAAATTAGTTCATGAGGGGCGTTTACAATTCTGGGCACAGAATTGTGTTTACAAGACCTTTATAATAAGGGAAAACCTAGTGTAATGCTTGTTTTTAGGTCAAGGGGTGAAAAGGTGATACTTTTCAACCTACTTTATGTAAGTTTGTAGAAATTGTTTCTAATATTTTTCTGCCAGGTAACAGTTGTTCCTTCAAATGGCTGCTCCAGTGTTTGTGTTTAAAGGGGAGCTGTTGCATCAGGCAGCTATCTATGATCAGCGTGACTTGCTGAAGTCTCTTCTGATGGCTGGTGTCCATGGAGAAGCCAACAGTCTTGATCCTCGTGGGTTGACACCTCTTCATACTGCTGCACTGCATGACAGTGTTGGTTGTCTGGTAGAGTTATTGGAATGGATAGGTAACTTGACAAAAGCAAGTGAGGATGTGTAAATGTTTGAGACCAAACAATTAATATTTTGCAGCATTGTAAATAGTTTCAACTTAGGGGTGGGAGTTGATTGTGTTTATTAGTTTATTTGGGCTATACTGGGGGACATGATCTGTTGAGAAAATTTGTTTTCAGAAGTTCTTTTTACCAATGCGGTAAAAGTGGTGCCCAGAACAATATACTAAGGGGGATGGGAGGGAGGAAAAGTGTGAAATACCAGCCTGGATGGAAAATAAGAATATGCTATGTTGTTATGCTTAAATTTATCAATATTTTGTTTTACAGAAGA